CTATGTTAAAATTGAAAAGTAGAGCGATAAATCGTTGAAAAGCGTTATCACACGTAACCTTGTGTAGGTCCATGCAAAAAAAGTCAAGTGATTATCATTACTACTAAAAATATGACCGAAAAATGCGTTGTCTGGTACAGCGACAAAACTTTTCCAGTTATCGTGAAACCACCCGTAAGAACCGCCGGAAAGACAGTTAGCCTTCATTTTCTAGATTATGGACCATGGAAGTTCATCGAGTAGGAGGTTACGGATTCGATCGACATATGCTTGAAAAACCGGTGTCAATTCGATCGACATGAATCGTTCAATGAATAAAAACGCGAACTGGTCGATACCCAATTCGATAGACGACCGTGAATCAATCAACAAATCCGTGAATTATTGATCGACAGATTCGTGATTCAATTCGATTGACAGCTCCATGAATCGATCGGCAAACCTGAGAATCGATCGAATTTGGTCAGCCGAGTTTGCTTTGATCGGTTAACTTCTTTATATTTCAATCGATTCATGTCGATCGAATCGACACAGGTTTCTTAATAATTTGTCGATCGAATTACGGTTTAATTTTTCGGTCGATTCATGTCGATCGAGTACTTACAGCTTCATCGCACGAATAGTTGCATCCAGGCCCAGGCGTTGCATTGTCATCAAAAAAATCAGGTAGCCTTCAATTCTTCGGCTATGCAACATGGACGTCCATCGAGCTCGAATAGTTGCATGCAGGCGCTGTCGTTAGAGTAGCGTTCTCTTATCCATCACCTTGTAATGAGAACATGTACCGCTGTGCTGGAGTGCGTTGTTATCTTAGTTAGGGATTGATTTTAGGAATTTTTGTTGCGCGAATTGTGTTCCCCACAAAATTTTGGCGAGGGAACGTGTATCAGAATACTCAAATTAGCATGTATCTTGTCTACTGGTTCATTAGCTAAGGCGAACCCAGTCACATCTAACGGGGAGGGCGGCGAAAGGGGGGTCAGGGGGCTTTACCCAATTTTTTTTCGAAATTTTAAAGCATTCACTAGCATAATGCAGTTTGAGTCAATTTTGTCATGAAAAATTACTAAATACTAGCGCCCTCCTTTCTTCTTTTCTCCAAGTGGCGTGGCGTGCCTTGCGATTTATCGATCGATCTGCCATTTAACCTGATAAAAAAAGATCGATAAGCAGGGCGTTTGTAACGAACACCTCGATAATCGATTCTTTATCATAGCTTCAAATGGGGAAATATCGATAATCGATCATTTACGCCTCGCCACTATCTCCTCCGTTCCTTCCTACTTTCATTATTTCCTTTTTCTTCCGTCTTTTCGGGCAAACGGGGAGGTGGGGGGGGGTGTTGCACGTCCCCTACGCCCCCCTAAATTCGCCTATGTTCATCAGTGAACTGGACTACATTTTGCAGTTTGGAACTATAAATTCTAACCCGCTTCAAAAACAACGTATGTGCCATTAGTTTCCCTACGCATATAAGTGTTTTTCCAGATGAGTCAGCATTTATATTTCCAAATTACAAAATGCAGTCCAACTCATCTAACTGCAACGAGGAAGTGCACTTTCGCTAAAATTGTTAGCTAGACGATATTGTTCTTCAACCCTCCGATAAGTCCTTTTTCAATACCCCTGCTGCTGAGAGAATTCTACTCCTTTAGAAATCAATTAGGAGTGTTTGGAGAGGTGTATCATTCTGGAGCTGACAACGGCGGGGGCAGGGGGGGGGGTGGTGCCGGGAGTGCATAAATCAAGGAGGAGCATCTCCCGCGGGTCGAGGACGGAAGAGGGAGGTCGCGGCGCCGAAAGGAGTTGTTGAGGTCTCCGTCTTACAGGGCTGAGCCACCCGCGCAGTGGCCGCGGCCGCGTATCGGTGAGCGGTGAAGGCAGCGATTTATTCGTCCGCCTCATCCCTTTCCGTTGCCAAGCTGCGCCCCGAAATTAGGCTCCGAATACGATGGTTAACGACTGGACTACGTTTGAATTGCATTTTGCGAAAAGGAACCAAGAGCATTCTAATGCACTGAAAAAAAATTCTTGGCGATTTTACCAAGGTCCGTTGGTACCTTTACTATCTCACTTGTTTTACCAATTATTGGTAATTTTACCAAGACAGACTGGTAAGCTTACTTAAAAACCGGTATTTTTACTGTTTCTTTCAGGTAAGAATACCACTTTTATTGGTAATCAATTCCCGGTAACTTTGCCATTTTATCTCGGTAATTCTACCACAGTCGATAAAAATATATTGGCGTTTTTACCAAGGGCCAGTAAAATCACAGAGAAAATTCCATAATTTTACCGAGATTTTTCGGTAAAATTACCAATTCCATAAATGGTAATTTTACCAAGAAAAAAACTGGGATCAAATAGAACTCTGAATTCTTTGTAATTCTACCCTTTTCTTAGTAAATACACCGAGATATTTTTTCAGTGTGCTGCAACTGGGCATTTTGCGAAACGGAACCAAGAGCATTCCAATGTTGCTAGGATTGCGCAACTTGCGTGGTTGCAGTAGAATTACTGAAATCATGTAAAAATTAAATTTACAACAGTGACTTTCATCTTAAATTTATAGTTTATTCGGAGTAAAGATTAAACTTGTTTAGATAGTCATTTTATATTCGCAAGGTGAAAAGAGTTGCACGATCTTAGCGACATTGGTATGCTCTTGGTTCCTTTTTGCAAAATGCAATCCAACTTACATTCCATGCAAAAAATTACTGAAATCATGCGAAAAATTAAACTTCCATGAGTAATTTTTGCCTTGAATTCATAGTTTATTGGGAGTAAAGATACGACTTGTTTAGATGATCAGTTTACATTTGCAAGGTAAAACAAGTTGCACAATCTTAGCGACACTGGAATGCTCTTGGTTCCTGTTTGCAAAATGCAATCCATTTTGCAATGGAGTAGTAGACAAGGCACTGATTCAAGCATCCGAACTTGTGCTTCTTCGCCAAAATTGCGCTTATAACACGATTCGCGCGATGGAAATTACTGAAATCAACTCATATAATTATAAGGGGCCTGGAAGGCAAGGCGCATAAGTGCAGTTTTTGAAAAAATTGACATACTAATGATTTTATAACTAAAACTAGTTTGAGAGTATATTCTGTGAAAAATTTACAACGAAAATCCAACTTTGAACCATCAAAAAGTGAGTTTAAACTTCCTTACTGGCATACCGCTCCATGTAATTTTGAACCTTCAAACACGAATTTCTTAAAATAGGAAAAACTGCACTTATGCCCCTTCTTCTCCAAGCTCCTTAATTAAGATATTAACGTTTCTAGTTTACATTAATCACGGGAGTTTTGAATTGAATCCTACAATAGTGTGAAGGTGCTAGAGGTACCGTCAGGAAAGTTCGCATTTGTTTACATTCCGTTCCGTCCAATAGCGATCGAGGGTTGACCGCAACCCGATCGCGAGCATAGTCACTCAGGGCCGGATTAAGGGGTTGGCCACATGGCGACGGTGAAACTACCAAACCACGTATCTCGTTTGCGGTGTTTAAAAATCTACGCTCACATTTTATTTTTTTGAAGTAGACCAAATCAATATCATTCCTTGAAATTTTCACGGGATTTTCTCCGCACAAGGAGGAAAAATCACAAAAATTTTCAAGACTGGATGTTAAGTAGTTTCTCATTTAAAAAATAAAGTATGACAGGAAGTCTGCGACGTCGCAAACCGAGATACGTGGTTTGGTAGTTTCACCGACGATGGGCCGCGGCCCATGGCGGAAAATCTATAGGAGAAGCCAAATTTTGAAATTTTTTTAAATGTAGGTATAGAAAATTCGAATTTAGAAAAAAGAATTACAGACGAGAAAAGGCGTTTAAATCTCTAATTTTCAGAGAGTATAGTAATTTCTACTTTTGTCGTCTTTCAGTGATGATACAAGAGACAGCACATTTAATTAGTCGAGTTAAGAGAGAAACCAAACACGCAATTTGGCCTGGAACGGCGCGACTTAGAGAGAAACGATGACGAGGACTTGAGATGAAAAGGAGAAGCCCTCGGCGCGGCGATCGGCATGTAGCATATATTAGCCCCTGCATGACTGCACAAATACTTCACGTATTGCGACAAACACAGTGCGATCAACGTGAAACGCATAGCGCCTACAAGACTGCGTGAAGTATTCACGCAGTATTGTAGGCGCTATTGCGTCAAACAAAGTGCGTTCAGCAGCGGTCGGCGTGAAACTCATAGCGCCTACAAGACTGTCGGAATACTTTACGCATTGCGCCAAACACGGCGCGGTCTGCGCGGCGCGGCGGTGGAAGTTAAAATCATTAATCCACACTTTTGTTTGTTCTTTCATAATTTTTTCGTTCATTTCTTATGAATGGAGGGCCTTGTCCACACAGAGATAGGTTTACGAGACTTAACTTTCGCGCAAAGTTCCGGGAACTTTTGCTAGTACTGTTGACAGGGCTTTCCCAAAAAATGTGTTCAACACAAGTAAACACGTCTTATGCACCCCTCCCGTGCTGGCACGTTCATTTGATTATTTTTATTGATGTTTCAAAACGAATGAGAAGGGGGCAGCAAAATACAAAGGTAGGTAAATCCGGCCCTGTGGTCACTCGTCAATCGCTATTAGACGATTGCATCGCGGTCACTCTGAAACGGAATGCAAACAAATGCCGACTATTCAAACGACACTTTTAATGCGAAGGAAAAAGTAAAAAAATTTAAAAATTAAGTAAGGACGAAATTTCAACGGAGAGAAATTGTTTTTCTTAGTTGCCTACGTGCGACTATCTTGTAGATTGGCTCATCATCCTCAGATGATGATTGGATGAGTTATATGTTTTTAACTTTCAACTATCACTGTTCGTTAAAATACAAACCAAATTTCTATTTCATCTGCTTTCACTTCTCGTGCCGTGATGATAGGAAAACACTGTAAACACGTTTCAAGAAACCGAAAACAAAAAGAAGGAAATAAATTTTTCTCAAGTAAACTTGAAACAACGAGAGACAAATATTACCTTTTGATCGTATTTGCTGGAAATTTAAGCAGTTAGTCCATGTCTTAATCCACCGGTTTGTAACCTGGAACACAATAAAGAAAAACACATCAATGAAGATGTTATGATCTCCTGTCATTAGTTTGGGGTCAGTGAAAAAGCGGGCGGAATCATTCATGAATTATGCATCCATCCTGTGCTCTTTTATCCTCTAGCTAACGACAGTTACAGTTCTCAAAGTTAATTTACCTAACATTTCTAAAGGACACAGTGGAAAGGACAAGGGCTGCCCGCTCCCGAAAAGCTTTAGGTTCCCCTGAAATGGATCCACTTGAGTAACTTCGCTGTATAAAGTGAAGTTTGCCGTATAATGAATCGTCAACAAAGTTCTACAGAATCGGAGGAAGCTTATGAATGAGTTTGATGGACAGATGAAGTGGTGTTTGTTTCATAAAGAGAACATCACAACAAAATAAGAATCAACTTCAACCGTTAGCGCTCTGCCTTTCTTTTTTGTGATTGTTTATGTATCCACTGTCGGAACAATTGTCTTCAATGACTACGGTGAAATTTGGAAATATTGAGTTTTTGACTTTAGACGAAGTCTCCCTTTCTTGTCGTGATATGAGGGTGAAAGCTGTTTTATAGCATGTCATTGGATTATCACTGGGAGAATGATATGTAATTTTTTACGCGGTGTCTTCATTCATTTGAAAAAAATTTCCTACATTTGATCAGAGTCTTTCTTTTAAGAAAACGGGGATTTTAGCTTTCAAACTTCAAAGTGTCTCTCGCGGTTTTTGAGCTTTTGGGGTATTTTTATTTTGTTTTTAAAGTTTTAATCACCCACTACTATGCAGAGGTAGTGTGTACCAAATTCTCTTCCCAATTTTACAAAATGAGGTCTCTTGTAGTATTGGTTGCATGCAGCTCCACATAAAATGAAAATATAATTGATTTCAATCGATGTCCTGGCCAGCGGTGTAGTAAAATACATGAAACTAGTAACCCCCCCTTCTTTACCACCAGCCACTCGGTCCAACCTGCTATGGACCTCAGAAAGTCGCTTCCCATTATAGTAAAATACATGGGTCACAATTCGAAAATCTAAAGACTGAGGGCTCATCTACATAATTTCACCTGACAATACTGCCGTGCTAAGGAAAACCGCCGTGTGAACATTCGAGAGTTGCCAAATTCCCTTCGTTAAAATGTTCATTTTTGAGGAAAGTTATGAATTTTTCTCTGATAAATTTTCAAGAACTTTGGGTAAAATTGCAAACAAAATTATCTGAAAAATTGAAAGAAAAATATTTACAATTTTTCCCGTAAATTCGTGATTTACCTCAGAAAATTTGGCAATGCCTAAAAATTCACACGGCGTTCTTCATTAGCACGGCAGAATAGCAAAACAAAATTAAATCAATTAGGTGGTCGAGACAAAATTTAGGATATCAGAAAGCTTCAAAAATTGACTGATAAAAAAAGTTCACCAAGCGAGTTCGATCCACACCTGAATGTTTTATTAAGTTCCTCCAATGATAAAGTCTTAAGTCTGATGTGAGATTAAGGGATCCTGAACTTCTCATTTCGCGTTAAAAAAAGGATTAGAACCTCCACCACACGAAAAAAGGGCATCAAGCGGATGTAAAGGTTAAAGGACCTTCACCCTATTTTTGAGGGAAATGGAATCTCATCGAGGGAAAAAAGCCCTGAGCTCAGGACGCGATCGCTTGATTATCATTTTACGGTTGGTGGGTCTCATGAAAATTGAAATATAGATTTAACACGAAGAGGCGTTGACAGTTGGTTATTTGATGGTTCTATCTCCCACTCCTGGAATTGTGAAATTCCATTCAATTGTTGATCCATCAATTTATTGCGTTTAAATATTTCTCATTTACATCCATGATATTTATTTATCAACTATCATATTTACAAACTAAAGCCGCGAAGAATTTTTACGTCAAAATTAAATCATCGCCATTCAGACTTCCTTATTAATGATTATCGTATTCTTGTTTGTTTGCCGAAACTATAGTGCACAGTTAAAAATGTTCATGTTCTAGGTTACGTAAAAAATTGAGTGACAATACACCGAAGTTCCTTACAGGAGGAACGTATTCGGGCCTCCTTTCTTCACTTTCTTCCCGAATGTGAGCGACGCACCTCATTGACAACAAAAAGTGGAGCATTGAGAGTTCACGCCTCGCTCCATTGCGCCTTCAATTTTGCAGATGCATTATGGACATCCATCAAGTACGAATAGTTGTATCTCTGCGCCGTTATCAGCGCGTGTCAAGTTGTTTGTTTGAAATTTGAGAAAGGTTAAGCTTTTTACATTTTGATGCGTCCAAATCAATGATTATTTTGAACCAAAAAAAAGTTTAGATGTCTCTCATTTAGCGCACTGAAAGAATTGTATTTTCCATGTCAAACTATCTCCTTTGGAAGAGTTACACATGGCAAATGAGGAAGGAATGAGAAAGTGCCAGTGTGTTACCAAAGAGATGAAAATTTTGAAAAAAAGTATATCTTACCTTCAAGACATAGAAATACAAAGAATACTTCAAAACTATCAGAATCATTGTAATTAAATATACGGGTCAATTTGACCCGACTTGGTACTTCGCGTGTAAAAAATTATTAGTCATCTATAAGATTTAAAGAAAGGAAACACTTAGATAAAGCAGCATTTTCTCGATTCAAGAAAAACATTTTCTCAGCGGCAAATTTAAGCATTTTTCTCAGTGTGGGTCTCAAGCTAAACATACGGTTCTTGGTAATCTTCATGGTCAAAAAGTCAGTTGTTGTGAAGGCTGAACGTGCAAAAAATCCTTTATAATCAAGAGAAAATAAATTATAAAGAAAATAGACAAGAAAAAAAGATGAAATTTTTAAGTAAAAAAATATAATTATGTTTAATCCGGAATCTGATCCTGAACGAAATCTCTTCCCGTGAAATTGTGCACCAGGCCGGCGATATTTTACCAGTAAATCACTGACGCAAAATGCAAATGTTGTAACAGAGGCTAAATGCCCGGCTGGAGCCTGTAACGACCTGCGCGGAGAATTTAACGAATGACCACAATAATTAAATGTTCGGATGCTAATTTGCATGGCCGCAGTAGCCCGCCGCAGGAACATCCGATGACTCCCATATTTATATCCCAGCTCACACCGCCACGAAATTAAATCAATCGGACCTCATTAGGTAGTACGCAATTATGTACTTCGAGAATTTTGAATTTACACTAATGTAAAATCGGTCACATGTGTAATCAGATAGAGAAACGCACTTACAGGGCGTAAAACTTCGGTCTATCTATGTGAGACGGAAAGTTTTCAGTTGAAAATTGACCTTTGTCCATTGCAACCACCCACTTCTAGCAAAAGGATCGCTCAGCTTTTTCTTTATATTCTTTGTTCATCAAATTAAATGATTATAGTCTGCAGTCAACCATGCTTTTTGATCCTAAGACGAAGAAGAAACGTAACTTCATTCCAAGGTTGCCAAATCGACTCAAACAATTCAATTTTGTACAAGAATGTACCTGGGCAATTATCATCCAAAATTTTAATAATTTTTACTCGAGATCAGAGGAAAAATCGGTGAAATTTTCAGTTAAAAATGCGCAAGATTCTCCTTTTAAAATTACAATTTGCGAAGGGACATTTGGCAACAATAAAATGTGCAGTTACGTTCTTTCGTGAGTAAAACATCGAAATAGCCCCTTCATTTGAGAGTCCACCCAAATGACGTTCAATCCCACCACAAATCGGCAACACCGCCGTCATCGGGAATCAATCTGGAGAGAGTTGAGGCGGCGGCTTTAAATCACTAGCGACCACCGCGCGGCTGGGAGACATCAAATCTCATTTTTCGCCCCCTTCCCCCTCCGTGCCCCCGCTCCGTCCCCCCTTTCACTCGATAAACCCCTAAAACCGCCCCTCGCGATCAAATTTGAGGGTCTCTTCCCATTTAAAATTACCGAGCGTGAGTTTGGCTATTACTGCCGCGCTAAGGAAAAACGCCGTATGAACATTCGAGAGTTGCCAAATTTCTCCGAATAAAACATGTATTTTTGAGGAAAGTCATGCTAATTTTCCCTTGAAAATTTCGGATATTTTAGATTAAATTGCAGGCAAAATTGTCTGAAAATTTTAAAGAAAAATGTTTACAATTTTCCCGGTAAATTCGTCATTTATTGAAGGAGATATGGCAACGTCTAAAGGTTCATACGTCGTTCTTCCTTAGCAAGGCAGATTACCCCACGGCCGCGGCGGCGTTTCGAAGAAGATTGCGATCGGATCGGAGCTTCAGGTGAATCATCCGGGTGAACGGGCCGGACGAATTGGAAACATCAATGCTAAAAAAACCTATGTCCCACGCAAACCTTATGCATATAGTTGCTTTTAGCATGAATACCCCGATTCGGGATCATCCCGGCTCACTTCGTCGTCTTTCTGATGTAGGGGCGTATCTCGATTTCAACTTGAGACTTGGAAAACAAGCGGGTTGTAAGGGCAGTAGAGCTCACGTGGAAATCTAGATACGCTCTTACGTCTTATGACTTCACGTCGAAGCCGACGACGAGGACAAGGTGCTTCGCCTTTAATTTCAATATTTTTACGGGTTTCCGCGGCTTGCGTTTTGATTGATTTTAAGGCCCCGGCGCACAATGAATCGATTCTATCTGAGAAGTCGGACATGAGATTTTTAACTAAAACTGCAAATTTTGATGTTTAATTCGTCTCATTTTAAATATTAAGGGGTGCTTTAATGAGATAATTTCACGAGGAAACTAATGGAGCCACTTTTGTAAAACCTCAAAATTTCGTATGAACGGAGCTACGACTTTTTGAAGTTTCCAAACTTTGTCCAACCTCCTTCATTAACTAAATCCATTGTGCGGCGCCCGACTTCGGGGTGAATCGACGAATTGATGAGCGTGAACTTTGAATGGAATAAACTCAGCAGAAAGGATTCGAGTCGCATAGCTTAACATTAATTTATACGTGCTTTTGAGTTGACCAGCCCCCTGCCTAAAAAATCAAAAGCCATGGAAACACTGAAAAAAAGTC